CTAAGACTTGATTAGCATTTGCTGAACTACTGCCTTGTGTCTGGGGGGCCAGCCCATGTGCCTGCTAAGTCTGAGCTAAGGCCTCACTTGCTCTTTACTAGAGCATTTGTGTCTCTTTACAGCGTCTGAGGAAGGCCTGGGGCCCCTCCAAAAACAGCTCCCCCACCCAGACAAATAGCAAAAGGCCATGCACACACACTGGGCTCATCTAAAGCACTGGCCTAACTCTGCCGCCACTGAACAATTCAAGCCCCCGGGGAACAAGCTGCTACTCTCAAGAGTCCCACTGTGAGTTTTAGTTGTGATCCCTGAAGAAGTCTGGTGACAGCTGGGCTAGAGATCTATACCTCTAAGGGCAGGCCCTCAGCTCTCCCGCAGCCCTCATAAGAGTTCCGACACCACCGGTTTAGACCCTTGCGTAGCTTGGGGACCCCATGACCCAACTGATCCTTGCTTGGCACAACAGCTTGTTGGTCATTTGCAGCCAGTGTAAAAGATTAGGCTTCAGGCTGCTCTATGTTGTGTGGAGATTGGGCTGATGCCTAGTGGGACTAAAACCAAGGGACTCCAAGCCCCTTTTTCCCTGGACTGATCCTTACTGCAGCTCCGCCAGTCTAGAGTACCTGAGCCCAACTAATACCCAGACTTCCTAGGGCAGGCCTGCGCAAAACACAGCCCGCAAACTGGATCTGGCCTGCAGAGACAGTGGGGAGCCCCAGTCAGGCTCCACTGCTTGCCCCACACAGCACTCAAACGAGGCTGTGGGGTACTTTCTCTAAGTCTGGAGGGCAACCGGGGGGGAGGGTTCAGACACTGCTCCCACCCCCAACACAATCCCATTGGCTAGTTTCTGGACAGACACTGGCCAATGGGAGCTGCCTGTTTGAATAACAGGCAGCCACGAAGCACAGCCCTTCTGCTCACTCACTCAAACACATGGCCAAGCAGGCAGAAACATTTTAAGCCCTGCAAGCCCTTAGTTCTGCAGGCAGGCAAGTCTCCTGGGCTGTGTCTACACTGGCATGAATTTCCGGAAATGCTTAAAATGGAATACTATTCCGTTTTCAGTTTTTCCGGAAAAGGAGCGTCTACATTGGCAGGCTGCTTTTCCGGAAAAGCCCTTTTTCCGGAAAAGCATCTGTGGCCAATGTAGACGCGCTTTTCCGGAAAAGACTACGGGGCTGTCTACACTGGCCCTTTTCCGGAACAGTGTTCTGGAATAAGGACTTATGCCCGAGTGGGAGCAGAATAGTTTTTCCGGAATAGTGGCTGATTTTGTACAGTAGAGCATCGTTGCTTTTCCGGAAATTCAAGGGCCAGTGTAGACAGCTCGCAGCTTATTCCGGAAAAGCGGCTGATTTTCCGGAATAAGTGGCCCAGTGTAGACACAGCCCTGGAGAGAACCTGCCTCTGGCACCTGAACCCCTGCCCTCCCCAATCCTCTGCTCAGCTATTCCACATGCACCCATATTCCCTCCCAGATTGGCACTCCAATCCCTTCCTATCCTAGGTCACATCCCAGAACACTGCACCCCAGTCCCCCGCTCTAGGTCCAACTACCTCCTTCACCCAAACTCCCTCCCAGACTCTACTCTCCCTCCTATACCCCAATCCCTTACATCAAGTTCCTTTCTGCACCCAACCTACATCCTAGACCCCGCACCTCCTCCATTAATATCATGGAAGAGTGCAGTCCTTGACCACTTTCCAAAATCTTGTGAGTGGTCCCCCCCCCGCCCTGTCAAAAATCATTGCCCACCCCTGTCCTAGGGTGAGTGTTGAACTGCTAGAGTTGGCACACCACCTTCTGCACAGAAATAGGGGTTTCTAGGATGAATAGCCTGCAAGAAGGACCCTACGGCTAAGCGACAGGGTTTGTACCTAGGCATTTAGCTGCAATTCCCTTGTATCTGGCGTTTTTTTTCCAAATGAGCAAACTGTGGGAATTCTCACAGCTCTTAGTTCAGTTTCTTATGAAACATTTGTATCCTGGCCACAGCATCTAGGTTAACTTATTACAAAATGAATCCTATCTGGACCCAGCTTTTCCCCCGGCTTTTACGTGTCCTGCTCCAGGAACTGCCCTGTGAGTCTCCTGAGCAATGGAATATGCTCCCCCTTTCAACAAGGTGTTTAACCCTGTATGTGCCAGAAAGGCAAAGCCCAGATGCATAGGTTAAATTCTGCTCTGAAACATCCTCCTTGGAGTAGACCAAATTAAACCATGGGTCATGTCTTTTCAAATGCTTGCTGAGAATTACAGTCCTCTGCTCCCCTTCCAAGGTTACACACATTTAATAGGATACCATACCGCCAGCAGACCATGGCTATTTTTCCAGACAGCATAAGCATTGCCAGGAATCCACTGAGTAAACTTGCTTGTTTGCCAACTGGTTTTGCTTCCTCCTTTGGTTACAAAAGCATGTTTGTTTAAAGGGAAAACACATGAAACTTGCTTCAACGACTAGGCCAGCACCCCTTGGGACAAAGGGTTTAGATCTTTTTGTTCTACAAGTAGCCAGCATAGCACTAGACGAGGTAGGAGTTAGAGGTGAGTGTAGCTACACTAGAATCATACAACACGTAGGCACGACGCTAGCTCTAGGAAACCAACTCTTTAGGGTCTGGAGCATTTCTGCTAGTGGAATGGATTACAGACCAACACTTTACCTGCAGGTTACATTTGCTGATAGCTTGTTTGCAGAATAAGCCAAAGCAAGATAGCTTTTTTGTGCCCTACTCATGCAAGGTGGGCTTTCTAGTGCTCATCAAACATTTGGTGGCTTTGGTTTATTGGGTGGTTTCCTTTTTTGCCCTCTTAATGCCTAAGTGTGTTGCCCAGCTGAAGCACAAAACTTAATATACCACCGCACCATCAGCAGACCATGGCTATTTTTCTTCTGCGCCAGAGTTCAAAGAGAATGTTGCAGAACTAGTTCATCTCTGCTTCATACTCTTATATATCAATAGTAACCTAGTGCCTCCTTAATTTGTTAGCTGGAGCCATGCTGAGGGCAAGGTCCCATTCAGTTAAATAATTTGTGCCCTGCCTAGGGCCAGGAGGCATCTTTTAGGCATTTAGTTACATACGCCACAACACACAGCAGTGATTATTGTTGGAATCAGACTAAGAGGCACAGTTTGAGTCACAAAGCTGGGGCAGAGGTGAAACAACCAAAAGCTAATCAAAGTAAACATGCTTAGCCTTGGAACTTGAAGGCTGTATTTGAAGACCCATGAAAGAGAGAGAATTCTGAGAGGAAGGGACACTACACCAAGGCCTGGTTGACACAGAAATGACACCAACTGAACACAATGGGTGCAATTTGTGTGAACAGCCTAGAGAGCCCTTCTGCCGACTCTCAAAAACTGAGCCAGAAGCCTGCAAGAGAACTAAGTTTTAACTGCAGAGCTGGGCATATAAACCATGTGAACCGTCTCAAAGAGATGTCTGTTCCTCACAGAATCGGGACAAGCTCGCTGTTAAAGATTCAGTTCCATGGAAGAAATCCAACAGATTTTAAACTGTTACACTGTGACAGAAGTTACTGTGCAGATAGTCAGCACTTCCCAAAAATTGTAGTGTATGAATGGCATAGCACATCCCTATAAAAGATCATTTAAAGGAGGGCCTTCACATTATGCCAGAAGCGCCTTTTTCCTTGCAAAAGACAAATCTCCCCTCTTCTCAAATGGATTATCCCCAGTCGTTGAAACAAAATTTCATTCCTTGGTTCATTTCAATTTCATCATCCTCCACATTAGCCACATTTATAATGGTGGTTCTCAAACTGATTTGAGCGCACTTCCCTTCTGTGTGTCTACAGTACCAATTTCACCATACAAATTATATACACTGATTTTTAAAAATGCAACTCTCACTAAATGTTAAAGCCAGTAAGGCCCTTGTTCCAACAGAGCTAACGAACCATTGTAGTGAGAGCAGAAGCAAAATCACAACTGTGGTTGATGCTTACAATTAAATGTGTATGCAGTGTTGTAGCAAAATGGATTAATGTTCTGATAATTACTTTGTATAAAGCTATGCAAGCTAAACAGACACGTCAGAATGGACAACGCTATGTGAGGCGCTGATACATCTGGAGAAATCAGCTTTGCTAGTTATTCATTATTGTGGATAAAATGTATGCATTAACTTCCCCCCAAAGTTTTTCACATGCCCTCCACACATTGTGTATCCCCAGAGCCTCCCCCTTGCCATCTCAGAATGTCTGGCATAAGACAAGTGACTAGAAAGGGTATTGCAAAAGTATTTATATATGTTCAGAAGCGAGCATGGGTGAAGGAACTAGACAAAATGCTCACAAACGGTACCACTTGGATATCAATGTTTTCATTGCTGTACTTGCTACCCAAACAGCAGACGTAGCATGTACAGCAGGAGAACCAGAAAGGAAAAGTGATAAGAAGAAAAATCACCATTTTGGCTTCCCTGTCCCAGCAGTTACAGATCCAAAGAGGAAGCAATCTACAGTGCTAGTGGAAAACAGCCGGGAAGAATATTTTTAAAGGGAAATGACCCTTTAAAATGACCCATCAAGACCAAAATATTCTGAGATGTGAATCTGTCCTGTTTATTTCAAAGGTAACTTGAAACTATTTTCTGTGCCTTTCCCCACCAGACATTTCTCATCTTAGCCATCCTGTTATCTTTTCAGTGTAGAAATCTGTACTGTGTTGATGAAACTTGTTGAACTATCTTTAACTGCATAGCAAGACAATGGAGCGTCAGGTACAAGGAAAAATAAGTGTCATGATAAAATGCAGAACTCATTTTGGACATCAAAACAGACTTCTCCGCATGAGACACATTTTAAGTCTAAACTTAAGTGTTTATTGGAGCATATGCACAAGGTAGGGTTGAAATTTCAGACTACTGTGCTGTATCAAAACAAATTCCCCCGTATTGCAAACAGCGTACAGAGTGATTTATGAAGTGTCCACAAAAAACTGGTTTAAAAAAAAAAAAAAGACACACACAATGGAATAAACTTTTTATTCTGCAAAGTAATATCCACATCTTACAAACACAAAATTAATATAGGAGAGAAATGTCATTATCAAATCAGCTATTAACCATCATGCAACAATACAAGTGAATTTTTTTAAATATACCATCTTAACCCTACATCAACTTGCAGAGGAAGGCTATAAACCAAGGCTCAGATTTTCTATGTAATGCCAAAAGAAAAATCCAACAGAAATGGCAGCTTTCTAACAACAAGAAAATACTTACAAATAGAATCAAAACTGATTCAAGTCATAGTTAAAAAAAGAAAAAGAAAACAAAAAGGAAAGATCAATATGATCTGAACAACCACTTTAATATTAAGTTTTTACCTTTCTGCTTGGCTGCATTAATTTTGTGTGTGAACTGTGCCTAGGTACAATCAGATACTCTTAGAAGTATGACAGTCTCAGCCCACTGAGTGATCTCACTTATTCTGCAATACCTAGGTACAAAGGGGGTAAATCAAAAACGAAAAGTACGTCCTTAATGCTAACTTCCTTGCATTTGTGGATTGCAATCTGAGTTTAATGTTTATTGTAGTGCAGTTAATTGTGGGATTTGGCTGTATTTTTTAAGCTGTCCCCTCTAATAATCAAACACACACTATATAAAAGCCTGTTCCCCAACAAAGCCCAATATTTTATTTTTATTTTTTTAAACACACAATTGCATTTTACTGTCTAGGCAGTTCTGTTCGGGGCTTGACAGTTTGCTGAATTATATAATGGATTTTAGATTTATTTAAAGTATCTTTATGTGATCATGGAAGAGTTCTCTGGGCATTTTTTTATACTTCCTGAATTAGCACCAACCTCCTTCCCAAGTTACCAGTTCTGAGCCACTCCCTAGTTGGTTTCAAAGATGAGTACTAAATAAAAAGGATGAGGATGCAGATATGAGAACAGTATAAGAGTGTTTCTCTAACTTTCTATGTATTTTTACTCAGTACATTTACTGCATCATTGTTGCAGTTTTACTAGTTAACAGCATTTTAAGCTGAAGAATAGAAACCCAGGTTATTTCATTTCTGGAATTCAGACTAAATGGCTGTCTCTAAAGTTTAATTTAAGATATCTGGAGGAAAAACCCCCACATTTTAGTGAAATAATTTTTCAGTGTGTGGTGGCTATCACAATTATATGAGGAACCATTTTCTGAAGAAAAATCTGATTTTTTTTCTTCAAAAATTCTGAAAAAAAATATGAATCTGCCATACATTGGAGTCCTAAAGCAATTTTATATAATATAGAACATATAAAATGGTCTGCAAATCACAACAGAGTGCAATCAATGCCAACAGATCAGAAATTACACTTAGGGATGTAAGCGACTAGTCTCTCCCTCCACCCCCGCAAAAAGGGATGGGAGAACAGAGGCTGGTGCTGGGCAGGGGGTGGGGGGCGGTGGGAGGGGGCCTGGCTTAAAAGCTGGTTCCCCATGAGGCACAGGGGAGCAGCGGGGGACTGGACACAAGCTTGGACAGCTGATTCCTGGCTCACACTGGGTTCCCCCCACTGCACACCAGCCTTTTAAATGTTTTAAGAGATGACAGGGTTAGTTCCCGGATCTGGAGCTAACCCCGCTGTGGCTCCCCTGCTTATCGACTAGCCGATGGAAAATCCATTGATTAGTCGATTAGTTGATTTAATATCCCTAATTACAATCTTTGAATTGGATTTATGGTTTCACGTACCACATGGCAGCCTGAAACTTAAAGCAAAATGTATGCACACATTTACAAATACAAAACCGTGCTACCTGACAAAAAAGCTGAAAGATTACATGAAGGGTCATTAAGGCAACCAGTAAGATTTTAAAAGCCAGGGAGGAAGTGTCTAAAGGAAACTTCTCCAGGTTTAATAAATCTCATTAGATAGGACAGGCTAGAAGGAGAATGAATAAGACAAATTGGGGAGGGGGAGCGACCCCACAGAACAAAAGCTCTCTAAGAAATCAAGTCTGCTCTTACTTAAGAATGGACACGAAGACCAATACAAATTTCTCAGGCAAGATTTCTCTCAACTTATTCACAACAGGACTAGACCACTAGTTGTCACCTTCCCCGCAGTAGACAAGAGTAGATACATTGGACAAAGCTAATCAAATGTCATTTTCAGTTGCCCTTTAGAGATGTATGAAAGATCCAACATGAAGCACTTACAGTATCATTGTTTCTTCCTTTTCCTTTTGTTATTTGCACTGGACAAAGCTACATGGAGCCACAACTGACTATTAATAGAATGTGTTTTTAAATCCACTTTCAGACAGGTTATAAAAAGCTACTTTGTACCAAAGAAATTCCTGGTTTGAAGCCCATGAAGGGGGGAGGCAAAGTGGAAAGCTTTCCAAACAACCCCAATGCCAATCAATGCTCTCCCATTCAAGCAGGCCACATGAAAAGCAAAACTTAGCACTGTGCAACAGAAAGGATTTTAAAATGAGACTCTGCCTTTAATTAAATTCTGGATAAAAGCACAAGTTTGTCCTAACTACTGCAGTATTAAAATGTGAATATGTATTTCTATTTTAAAAAAAACCCTAGAAATATTGATATTTTTCTTTCAAGCAAGGAACAAATGGAAAAAAGTATTAAGCCACATACCACAGGAGATGTATGTAGTAGACCAGTGGCTTTGGAAATGCAATATTATATCAAAGATGCAGACTGTTTCAAACACATTGTATACTGTACATATCATTGGGCAAAAACAAAGGGTTTGTTTTGTATTGTTTGAGACATTTGGAAGGACACCTTCATCTGCCCAGATGCAGCTAGACAAAAATATCTTGCTCTATGTGATCTTTATCACTAAACATATCTATTATCTACTCAAACATTCAGCTATGTCCACAGGTATAGGTTTAAAGTTCCGCGCCGCACTACTATGCGGAACAAGTGCATCATCTGACCTGTTCTGAATATACTTTTATAAATATGTACAAATCAATTACAGGCACTTGAAATGTCTTTGGTTGGAATAAACCAACATTGCAAGATAATGTATTCACAAAGTCTTAAGGCCCATCTGGGCTCAGCAGGCAATGATTATGGTTCTCAGCCATTTTCAGTAAAAGGAGGAAATGGATTATGCTTCTGACAAAGCAACCTAAAAATAAAACAAAAAAGACACAGAATTAAGATCCTGCATGTAACTGAAATCAACTATTTTCACATTAATTTATCTCCATGCAGCTAGGACAGCAATGGGCAACCTAGGCTGGTGAGTGGGCCACATGAGTGGCCCTCCATCTTAGGGGGCCCCAAGACTGTTTCTCGGGATAGGATAGTTTTGCTAACTACGCTTATGTACCTAGAATTTGTGAGGTGTACCAACCAAATAGAAGCAGCGCTTTGATTGGATGTAGAGGGAGTGTATGGCTCTCAGCCAATGCTTTGTACAATCAGCATGTATTTCACTTCACATTCCCTTGCTTTCTGCACGTCACTTTAGAAATACCAATAGGAAAAAACAGAAACCAGCAGAATCTGACAGCCCTGCACATGGGCAACAGTAACCAAAATGTCTCATGGGTCACACACAGAATGCTGATGGGCTGCAAGCTGCCCACCCCTGAACTAGGGTGTCACTGGCATTCTGAGGTCTGAGTTTCAAACAAGATAAAAATAGTGATAGAAATGTAGCCGTGTTAGTCTGGGGTAGTTGAAGCAAAATGCGGGGCATTTTGCTTCAAGATAAAAATAGATCTGAAACTATTTTGCAATTTTTTGATCTGAGGAAGTGGGTCTGGCCCACGAAAGCTCATCACCTAATAAACCATCTTGTTAGTCTTCAAAGTGCTACATAGTCCTGCATTTTGCTTCAGCTACACCAGACTAACACGGCTACATTTCTATTACTATTTTGCAATTGGCATTTATACAATTGATATTCAGCACCTCCCTAATAATGAAGGATAGTACACTGTAGCTTCTTGTTACATATTTAAATACATATTTAATCCCTTATGCAAAGTGCATGTGTATGCCTGTGTATAATTATCCTTAAATCAACATCAGCATTAGTTTTTCTAATGCTGATTACAACCGGTGATAGCAATATTTTAATAAATATAATCTTAAATTGTCTTACTGAAGAAAGAACAATTTCAAGGTGTGTCATCCAAGCAGGATATATGCTAAAGTGCAAATAGCATACTTTGTTGTAAATACAGTTTATTTGAAATTACATGTTAGAGGCATCAAAAAAGCCGAACTGCTGCTGTATTTATTGAGCTACAACTTATACCCTACATTTACAGAATAAGGATCTTTAATCGAAGGATCGATCAGCACTATATAAATACTGGTTAAGCTTTTGAACAGCCCTAGGGTGTAGAAGACTATTGTATTCCTTTCAAACAGGAGGCAAAATAGAGGCACCAAGCAGTTAAGGGATTTGTTCAAAGTTTTAGTCCCAGTGGCTTGAGACCCAAGAGACTCCAGTAGTTATGATTCTCAGTCCTCTGTTTTAGCCACTGATTAAACTACCCTACTCTTAATTGAACAGAATCCTCTACCTTGGTTCTTCACTACCTCCAGGGGCTGGATATAAAGATACAGAACAAGGCACCTTTTACAGTAACATTAGTTACTGTCCTCCAATGAGATACTAGGTCAGGAGAGAAGTAGGGATGCAATAGTGTAGTTGATTAACCGATTAGCAAAAGCTCATAGGTTAATGGTACAGACTACATGTATTCCCCCCTCCCCCACCCTTGCCAGTAAATGTTTTAGCAGGCTGGCCCACAGCCCAGCTCAGTTCTGGCTTGCGATGGGTCTGGGACCTACCCCTGCTGTGGCTCTGCATTTAAAGGGTATTAGGAGCCAGGCGGGCGGGCAGCCCAGCTCAGCTCTCCCCCGACAGTGGCTGCTGCCACTCCACACTGCTGCCTCTTTATTAGAAGCACAGGGCAGCAGGCATAGTGGAACTGGTTTTTAAACTGGCCCTCTGTGCGGAACAGCTCTCACAGAGGCAGCAGTGCGGAGTGGCGGGGGCTCTTCCAGAGTGGGGCCAGCACGCACTGGATGCCAGTCCTGCCCCTGGGGATTATACAATAGTTGCCTAATAGATAAGAATTCATGAGGTTATTCGACTATTCAATTAACCAATATTTAACATCTCTAGAGAAAAGTAAATAATCTGTGTGTACCGATTACATAACGTAAACGCTGTATAGAAAAGGAGCTTTTCTAAGCTCCCTTCTCCCCCATGTTATTTTAGGTAAACTTACTTTTTCAGGGCAGAATTCTGTATTGCTTTGCCTCAGTTTGCTTGGTCTACCTTTAATAACTGCATAGCAGAACATTGTAATCACCATCACAAAAAGAAAATAACTGGTATGCATGAGATGCAGGTTTATTAGTGAGCGATCATCCTGCATTGAAAAATAAAAGAGTTTACTGATTCTGTAGCTAGTGAAGGAATTTCACATTTAAGCAATGGTTAGCAGATTAGCAAAGAAGCCATCCCCAATCTGGTTTCTTCTCAATATAAAGTTTGTCTTCTATACTGTCAAGGCAAACCTCATCCACCTTGTTGCTCTAATATCTTGGGACAAACAAAGCTACAACACCACTGCAAGCAACTATTTAAGAAAGCAGTACTATGTACCTACTTTAGGTCAGGAAGAGAAGAATATTGGATTCAATTAAGTCAACAGGAGGCATTAAGTCGATGGAACACAGAAAGATCATTGGCACTTACATCTGGAACTATGACAGTTAGTTTGGGATTTAAAGCATGATAGACTTTTCCAATAGCTCCTTTGTAACACCAGAAAGGGTTATAATCTTGTGCATATTTTGTATTTGAGTCCCTGGCTGTAGTGAAGATCTTGTACCAGAGCGTAGCATTGCTGTATGTCTCAGGAACACAATGTGGTGGCTGACTGAGGATAAAACACAAGCAAACAAGCAGATGAATTGCCATTTTCAGTGTCCTGTGCAGCTGACTCTCAGAACACAGTAACGGTCACTCTCTCTCTTAACAGTGTAACACAGTGTATTGGTTTAGTCAGGACCATCTGTAGTATCATAGCAAAATAAAATGCCATAGCAAAAAGAAAGCATAGAACCTATAGCAATATTAAGCTTTCATTGTAATCTATTCCAAAAAGTCAACCCACCATCATTTAATGAGAGGTGCATATACTAGTTTTTAAAACATCCGATATTTTTAAAATAGCTTTCAGACAAATCTACCCCAAGCTCTGAGAGAGAAGGGGGATAAAGAGAATAACTTGGTGTGATGGACCCTTAAGAGTGTAGAAAAGAAGAAAGTCTGATACCATATGGAAGTAATTAGTGTGGCACCCTCCCCACCTAACACTCCTCTGGGTTTCACATTTTTGAATGTTGTGAATTTGTTAACTGAAGGATTCTACCCAAAGAACAGGTACAGCAGCACTGTCCCCACACCGACCTGATAATGCCACCTCTAGGCAAGAGAGCCACTACTCTCCAACACCCAGTCAGTCTTGTCCTCTTGACACAGTTGTTGAATAAAGTGTGGGGGAAGCCAATCATACTTTTTGTGAACACCCTTCCACTGCTGAAGAGACTCAGACAAAAACCTGTTTCATACAGAACAGGTGCCAGAAAATTTGGTCACCAGTGATCTGGGCTTTGATCAAGTTATCAGCTTTAAATACTGCCACCTAGCTCTTTTATATCACTTGAAGGATCTGTACCCCATACCAATCCTCTGACTTCTATTTCTGCACAATATATCACTTTAACCATATTTATTTTTCCATTTAAAGATATTTCCATTTAAGAACGTTTTGTGAAAACATGTCTCCCTTACAACCACTGCCACCATTTGCTTTTGCGGAAGACAATCAGCCTCATTTTTGGAGAAGTTTTGAGATAGATGGGACTCAGGTTAAGCGGGTACTAAGCTGGAAAGAGAAACTGGCCATTTTCAGCAAGTTAGGGATGCAGAAGTCTGGAAAGCCCTTGAATACCTTTGTGTCCACTGAAAATTGAAGTGATGGTATTTTGAAATGAAAGAAAAATTGACATCAGATTATCAAGACTTTGTACAACTAGGAACATAGGAACTGCCATACTGGATCAAACCAGTAATCTATCCAGTCCTGTAACCTTCCACTGACAGTGGCTAGAATGAGACACTTCAAAGCTTAATTGTTACAGTTTCAAAACTAGGAATTCTATAGTTCCTGTCCAGAGTCCCTGGATTTTGGCTAGAACTCCATTAGGGACCATTTAACTGAACTATAGCACATAACGTCAAGAAAAAGAGAGACGGACCTAAATAATATATTGGGCAACTCCTCTGTGTTAGTAGAAACAGCAAATGTATTTTAAAAGCAAACTGGACTTTAACCACTTAACTTCTAAAGTCAATGTTAGAGCAGCAAGAGGAGCATAAGAAAAGCATCCAAAGCATTGAGAGAGTAGTGGTACATTGGTGGTAACCAGTCTAAGAACAAATATTTTAAAAGGCACTTACACTGTGACAGGAAACACACTGCTGGCTGCTGTGACTGTCATACAGGTTGTAAATACCACCTGTTCACAGTGACCATGGAGAACACAGTCATCTGAATTCCAGGCAGCAGGCAGGGTGAATGTAATGTTCATCTCCTCGTGGGATTCTCTGCCTTTTAGAAAAAAAGTTTGTATGCAAGAGCAGTAACAGCAACAAGTACAGTACTATGAAATGGCACGTGGTCAGTTGCACTTCTGTGGTGGGAGACAGCTTTGTAGCCATCATTGTAGGAAGCAAAGAAATATAAGGGAAATAACAAACAGACCTCATTTCCTTTCCTCTCAGAACCCACAGTATTATTAGTACAGATAGACTCTCTTTCTAGTCCAGCACCCTCGGTACTAGGATGTAAAACCCCGTTTAATTGGTTAACTGGTTAAACATTAAGGGTTAAGTGTGGAGACTGCTCCAGCCGGACCCCTGTCCAGAGCAAGCCTGGACCTGCTCCAACCCCTCCCGCCTCGGTTAACCAGTTAAACATTCACATCCCTATTCGGGACCTCATGAGTGCCGAATAAGAGAATTTGCCAACCCACATGAGATCAATATTGCGTAGCAGCATTACTAACACTTCCATGGCTTACTGGGCTCTTAGAAGACATTTAGGGGCAAATTAGAGCTAAACAGCAGCACAGAACACTGAGAGCCAGGCTAGTTGCCGTAAACAAACTTGATGGGACTGTGGGACATATGGACATCTGGCTAACCAGAGTGCTGAACTGGAGAGGTTCAATTTGTACTGATTACATTTTGGACCTGATCCAACCACCATTGGGCATTTTCAAATTTCTGAATTTAGAAAACATCTCTACAGTTGTGCATAATCTGGACATTGTTGGCAACAATTTTATGAGTACTCTCATCTCAGAATTTTAGCCCTTCCCCTCCCAAAACCTACGTTCATCTGCTTATACTTAAGTTTAATTTTTTTAATTAGAGAAATCTATGAAGACAAAACTGTTGAAATGTACCTTAGTATGCACGACCTCATCAACAGATACAATTGCAGACACACCAAACTAAACCACTGGTTTCTCTAAATGGCATATTTTAGGTCACCAGGGATAAGCCACATTTGATATATAGATTAAATCCAGGTGGGCTGATCAACAGAATTTGCATTATATAGTTCAGGAAAGAATAGAGATATTTGATGAAAGCAAGAGATATTTTCAGTTGTGACATGTTTGCTGTAGGATGTTATAGGTATAAGTCATCCTGATTTCACAGCACCATTGTAAACTTAAACATGCTGATTTTTAACTCTAAACAATTACTGTGACTCCAGTTCTATTAAGTCTCCACTCCCCATTGATCTGTTCCTCTAACAAGGTAAAATAATTGAGGATTCTTCGAGATCTTAGCATCACTGGAAAATTTTACAATTGTTGCTTCTTTTCAGCAGCTTTATTTTGAAAAAGTTCAAATTGTTGATTTAAAAATCAACAAAAGCTAAACCATTAAAGCAGAAGTATTCACCACCAAAACTGACCAACTGACATCAATAGCTCTCAAGTGTACATCAGGTTGAGAATCACTGAATAATCATGTAGCAATTTTTTCAATGGAGAAATTTGTTTTGAAAATACTAGCAGCTGAATATCACTGTATTGACTGATCAATTTTAATTTGCAAAATAGTATACATGTCTGACTGTACATACATCTTCCCTATTACCCCAAACACAGGAAAAAATTACTCTGCCAAAAAAGGAAAAACAAAAAACCTACTAACATCCTCTCCCCCATACAAAACCATAAACTTGTTATTGGAAAGTACAGACAACAATTTTAGCAATGCACATATAAAGCCAAAACAAATTATTTGTCTTTTCAGTGACAAACTTGATTTTTATATTACTTTTTCAGAAATTTCTAATAGAAGCATTATAACTATTTACTCTTGGAACAATCAAATTTTGCATACCTGAGAGTCCAATCTGGTGCCCCAAAATTGTGGAACTTAGATGTGTGATATTACGGGAATACCCACCAAATGGTTTGAGTGGGTCCAGAGTTAGAGTGATTGTCACAGAGATGTTTACTGGACCAGAGTCCTCAAGAGTCTGTGGCGATTGTGTAGAAGATCTGGCTTGCCCGCTAGGCACTGTACTTTCTGGAGCTGTGGTATCATTGATGAGATGTTTTAAGGTTTCATTCTCGGATATACA